GCTGTGGCACCTTGGGCAGGTTACTTAGCCTTTAAAGGGCCCAAGACCATGCTGGCTCACAGCAGCGTTCATTGGTGCTTGCTGTGTTGCAGTTGTTCTTCTGCCTTCTCATGTGATGTCATTCCCTTCAGTGTGCCTTACAGGAAATCCTGATGAGGTGGCAATGTTTATAACCAGCCCAGCCTTGCAGCTTTCCTGTATTTACTGTGACTATTCCAAAATGCCTGCGGTCCGTTGATAGTCTAAATTTAATATACAGTCTTGGTCATTCAGCATACTCCTCACCATGGATTAAATGGATAGCCATATTCAACCACAACTGTCATCTCTGTACCTCCAAGATAGACGGCTGTGTCCATGGAGACTGACATGCAGGCTAGTGTGCCTGTCCTTCGGGTATTCAGAGAGCCCTTCAGACCATGCAAAAGTCTGTCGTTTTCAATATACTTTTGTGAGAGCCCTTCAAGAACACAGTCGTCACTATACTGAAGTTTTTGCCTGTTGATCTCGTGGGCCTTTAAAAATGTTTTTATCCTGGGTCCTGTTTGAAAGATTACTGGGAATAACATGAGTCCTATATCTTTGGAAATTGCAAGCTAACAAAACAGAAACATTAAAAAATAATGTTGCTAATAATATTTAGTAAGAGTGGTGATAAAGTCCCGAGAGGGACAGGAATTCTAATTAGACCATATAATCTATGGGCCTGGTCTAAAGGGAGAGGAATGGAGTTGGTCAGAAAGGCTTTCCTGAGGAACTGAGTTTGTGCAGGGTATCGAGATTTGCCTGTGACCCATCAATTTCGAATATTTCCTTGACTTTCTTGTTGGTCAGCATCCAACTATTTGGTGGAACATTGTGATTCTGCTCTCTCCCCAAGCATCACTTAGTCACCTGCCTGAGCCCTAAGAGTCCGTCACTAGCTCAAGCCAATTTCCACTCTAAGCTATGGTGTTGCTATTACTGGCACTTTTCTTCTTCTAGTTCCCTGGCCTGCCCATTCCCCAACCAGTAATCATGTCCTCTTCTGCCTTCCTCCCAAGTCTCTCTTTGTTTCCATTCTCCCTGAGAACCCCCTCAGTCTGGACTCAGACCACCCTCGCCATCTTGGCTGGGACGGTTCTGACCCCACCCACTTCTTCACTCTGTGCAACGCGGCTTGTATGCTCTCTGTTCATATTACTGCTCTGGGTCTGTTCTGGATGTCTCTGCTAAATGGGTCATCTGTACGCAGTATTTTTATTGTCCCTCATCTGTTCAGATACATCCAGTGCTGTTTCCAAGTCAACACTGTTGTGTTCACAATCACTTCCAAGGATGTTCATCAGTCCGCAGCCCTCTTCCAACAAAATATTATTTCCATCTTCAACCCAGCACGTAGTGCCTTGTAATGACTTAGTCTAACTCTCAGATAAGCACACTGTGGCCATTTCTTCAACCTTGCCAGGTTTTTATGCCTGACACGTTTACCTTGTTCTCGTATCCAAATCCGGCCCAGCACGCCATGCCCCCCAACATACCATGTCTCTCAGAAGACCCCCCTGACTTTCCTAAGTTTCAGTTCTCTCTCTTGCGTTTTCTAGCAGAACTTGTAACAGATACAGTCTGCACAGCACAAACCACTACGTATTATGTGCAACACAGTACTGGCTGTTGCTTCCCGAGTCTTATTTCCTCCAGTAGAGACCTGCTTCTGCAGACAGTCATTCCTAACATCACTACTGTGGTGTCCCCAGCACTTAGTACAGCACCAAGCCCGGAGCAGGTGCTCAGGAGATACACGATGACTGCTTGAAGAATGATTAACTGGAAGGTATCTTTGAGTGAGTGAAGATCTGTCATCTACCATAGTTGCTTTTTTGTCCCATTTTGAGATGGAATGAATACATCTTCTTAGTATTAAATAAAACAGAGACATTAGCTCCAGCAAATTTACAGGTAAGTATAACCCTATTAATAGTGATATGTAATGCTAAAAATAATTTATGGTATTAGAATAAAGCAGAAGTGTCAGATTAACCTGTGAGTTTAATATGACACTGTAGTCAACTAACTCCACAAATAGCCATTGAGTGCTTACTCTGTGCCTGACACTGGGGGCTCAATGATAGACAAAAGAGGCATTATCTCTACCCTCCTAGAGTTTACAGTTAGACAAGGGAGACTGGCTTTAAAAAAATTTTAATTACAGTAGCACCAAGAAGTACAAAGGAGAGGTACTTTCCACAGGGGCTGTGTGTGACAGCGGGGTCTTACCACATTTGGAATGTCAGCCACATACTGAGAAGTTTTCACAGGGGAACTGTGTGGAGGAGCTTAATTTTCCACACGTCCCTGTCTTCCTAGAGCTGCCCCACCAGTGAAAGCTCAGGAGAAGCTGCTACAGTGCCATCTAATGCAGAAGAAGGAGTGACAGTGTCACGTAACAGGATAGACAGTTAAGTCCATCCTGAGATTTTCAGAGCTAACAGAGACAGAGAGATTCCCATTGTTGTTGGTAATGGTCAAGTTTGCAGTAGGGACAGGAAATTTTGAAAATCCACCCCAAAGACTAAATTTGGCCACAGCAAAGTGAGATATGTGGTTGGAAAAGGTTTGCAGAAGACTTCGAGAATCTTAATGTATCCATTTAAATATGGTGGACTGAATCCTACACTCGGGGACATACACTGGAATTCCCTTTGGCTTCAGGAGGAAACTTGCAGCGTTTAATGGAAAGGACATGTCTTTCAGTGTTTTATACCTGCTCACGGAGAAGGTAGCTTTGATAGTTTCCTAATAACCATCCTAAAGAGTGAGAGCAAACACGCCTCACCACTCTGCCTCCTCACAGCTAAGAACTGTATGAGTTATGTATCTTTCACTTCTGACAATAGGAACAAACTGAGACACTGCCATCTGAAATGCAAAATGTGCTAAGACCTTTTGTATCCAGCCAAAAACACTTTACAGCTAAAAGTGAAACAGAGGCACAGAGCGATGTGAGATTTTGTATCCTGCTGTTGTACCTCAGACAATTATATCATTCATAAACATGTACCTAAATTTAAAGGTGCAATTACTTTTCAAAATGAAATAACTCCAGTTACAATGAAAAACTCACAGTTGTCCTGGTAATTTTGATTTGCTTAAATTACACCTAAACCTGTGCTAGAGTGTTTTAAAGAGTAGGATTTCTTTTAGAGCACGTCAGATCACTTAATAGCATTTTACCTGACAGAGGGGTGGTGTGCCACAGACCTCCCCTGATGTACCCAGTCCCCCACCTCCTCCCTCTGGGGTGTCCCTCAGACTTGTCCCCACCCCCATTCACTCTGCTCTGTGATCACTTACAGATGATTGGACTGTGAGAAATGAGCCTGTACTGGCTTGCCAGAGTTGACTCTCTTAACCCTGCTCTGTAATATCTTCCACATTCTTGATTAATCCATTTTCCCCGAAAATCTCATCCTTATCATGTTATTTCCCCAATCAGGAAAGTTTAGTGACTCCCTACAGGATTTCTCAGTGATGAACTTCTGTGCTATCTAAACTCTCCATAATCTGAGTTACCCATACTTTGTACAATTTATTTTTTAGGTCCTCCTCACTTCTTCCTTCAGCTCTTCATGAGAGTGTCCCTTGCCCAATATTGTACTATGCCTGCCTCTGTAAAGTTCCCTCTGTCTCAACAAATGAACTTATTTACAAAACAGAAATAGACTCACCGACATAGAAAACAAACTTACGGTTACCAAAGGGGAAAGAGGGAAGGCGGGGATAAATTAGGAATTTAGGATTAATAGATACAAACTACTATATATAAAATAAACAACAAGGACCTACTGTATAGCACAGGGAACTGTATTCAATATCTTGTAATGACCTAAAATGAGAAAGAATCTGAAAAAGAATATGTATTTTTATATATAAATATGCATAACTGAATCACTTTGCTATATACCTGAAACACTGTAAATCAACCATACATCAATAAATTTTTAACTTAATTAAAAAATTTTTAAAATTTCCACCTATCTCAAATGCCTATTCATATTCCCCTCATCCTTCAAGGCTCTGCCCCACATCCAACACACAACACCCCCTTCCCTGCATTGCAGACTACATGCTCCCCTACTTGCCATGGCATCTTTCTTCTCACATCCTGTGACAGACATTAGTCTCTGATCAAGAACCCATACATTATTATTTGTCATTCGAGTCACCATCTCTACCTAATAATTCTAGACCCTTTAAAGAAATTCATTCTGCTGAAATTTATATTTTAAACACAAAGATAGTTACCCCATAAAAATTTGAATGAATGATACAGATTCCCTAAATATTTGAATGAATAAAGTACAATAAATAATTTACAGGGGAAATGGGATATTTATCCTGTAAACATCTGGCAGTTATAATGCAGAATATTATATTATTCATAAATATAAATATATATTATTCAAAATATTGCTCATTGCATATTTCATAGGTGAATATCAGAAAATTTTAGAGTCTTGGTGACCATTTATTCTAACCTTATCATTTTACTCAGAGGGTGCCAGGGCCAAAGTGGCAATGAATAAAATACAGAAGTGCAATAAACCCTAATATTATGAAAAACACCAGCTATGATCTTCTTCACCAGTGCTTTCAGCTGTCTTACAGCTAGCTTTCAGCCTGCCTTCTGGACAATAATCAGACCCCTCAACTTTTTCTGTATTCCATGATATCTCCTTGAAAAGTGCCAAGACCAAGAAGACTCAAATAAACTTCTGCTCTAGGAAGCACCCATGTTTCTTTCCTATTATTTTTCAAAGGTTACTAAAACCTGAAAAGGATTTGAAATTATAGCATAACAAGGTGTTTCATGAAGTTTCAGGTGTTTTCATTATGTTTTTTGAAAACACTTTTACAGTACTTTTTTCATACAATTATTGAGCTTCGCCAAAAAGCAGAAACTAATGTCTTAATTGTAGCATTTAATGAAATATATCCAAGCTTTTATGAATTTTCAGCACATGTAGTTAAACACAAATAGCGTGAGCCTGTATTACATGGTGTAGCAGTGTATGCTCAAGTGACCTCTCTGTGGTCTCAGGTCTATTTGATCTAGAGTTTGATGCAAAGCTCAGTGAGTAAAAGGAAATTCCTTATTAGCCCAATGCCTTTTCTACACTAGGGGCAGAGACCTTATGTTCAATGGAGTCCTTTTCCTCTTTCTACCTGCCCCTTGTCCTCATCCAGATCTGGGAGAAGGAAAGAGAGGCTTTCTTACTTATCATACATCAGTTCATCTGCCTAACAGGTTGCCCCTGGGGCCAGTCAACAGGATGAAAACTCGCTCATTTTAATGCTGCAGACTGGATGTTTGATTTTCTATTCTATTCTACTTTTCAGACTATATTTTCTGTGAGTCCTGATCCAGTGACACAAATGTGCTGCAATGGTGACATAAACTATTGACTGAGACTGGAAGTATCTGAAACACCACCTTTTCTTCTTTCATTTTGTTTATGGTGCTTCTGTTGGAACAGCCTAAGCAAAGTATATACAACATGAGTTTTATCCTGAAGCTGCACAGACATTTTCAAAGGACGGTTCTTCTGCTTGCCACATTCTGTATGGTGAGCATTATTATTTCTGCGTACTACCTGTACAGTGGCTACAAGCAGGAAAGTGAGCTGTCTGAGATGGCTGCAGAAGTAGACTGCGGGGACTTCCAGCACCTACCGTATAGGCCGATGGAAGTGAAGACAGTGAAGCTCTCGGATGCCTCGAGGACAGACCCCACGGTGCTGGTGTTTGTGGAAAGCCAGTACTCGTCACTTGGTCAAGACATCATTATGATTCTAGAATCCAGTCGATTCCAGTATCACATTGAAATTGCTCCCGGAAAAGGGGATCTCCCAGCACTTATAGAAAAAACTAGAGGCAAATATATGCTCATTATTTACGAGAATATTTTAAAGTATATAAATATGGACTCTTGGAATCGAAGCCTTTTGGATAAATACTGTGTTGAATATGGGGTAGGCGTCATTGGATTCCACAAAACCAGTGAGAAGAGCCTACAGAGCTTTCAGCTGAAAGGTTTCCCTTTTTCTATCTATGGAAACCTTGCTGTGAAAGACTGTTGTATTAATCCTCATTCTCCATTGCTTCATGTGACCAAATCTTCTAAGCTTGAAAAAGGTTCTTTACCGGGAAGTGACTGGACAGTTTTCCAGGTTAATCACTCAGCCTACCAACCAGTAATATTTGCCAAAGTAAAGACCCCAGAAAACCTTTCTCCTCCCATCTCTAAAGGTGCTTTTTATGCCACTGTTGTACATGACCTGGGGCTCCATGATGGAATTCAAAGAGTTCTTTTTGGCAACAACTTGAGCTTTTGGCTGCACAAGCTCATCTTCATAGATGCTGTTTCCTTCTTGTCAGGGAAGAGGCTGACATTGTCCTTGGACAGGTACATACTTGTGGATATTGATGATATCTTTGTGGGAAAGGAAGGCACAAGAATGAACACCAATGACGTGAAGGTAAGGCTGTCTTATCTCAAAGGGTCACAGTTTGGTTCTCCTTTCAGTAGGTTGCCTGGGGCTTGGGGATTTTCCGGGACATAATGTTTTATGACTTGATTTGATTGGGAAATTTTTAGACAAACTGGAATGAGTTGGCTACCCTCAGCTCTTTTTGAGACATGGGGCTCTATCTCAGCCTTAGAACAACTAATTAGATACATATTTTTTCTTTGAATCAAGAAAAAAATGAAGATTGTACAAAAGGACTGAGTGGCAGAATCCGGGAATGCATTTCTTTGTATATTTCTATGTGTATTTAAAACTACAGAGTGGAAACCACTTTGTTTAATTACTGTCCAGTGCAGTTATCTACCTTAGTAAACTATTACTAACCTAAGACTTTAGTCCCTTTAAATATGAAATCAAGGTGAATTTGTTTTAATGAAAATGAATACTCCCACAAATTTTCAAGAATTAAAGATCTTATAAGTAGCAAGTTCAGATATTTTTGGAAGTCATATGTGCAGCTCATTTTCTCTTATGACTTTTTTGAAACTCTGAAAATTAGCACTACTAAATATGGAGCACTGTGAATACACAAGCATACTTATTCATGTAGAAACATAAGGGTTTGCATTAAGTTTCAAAATTCATTGAACACCTCTGGTACACATATGAAGCCTATCATGCTACATTTATATCGGATTTTATTTATTATTGTGTAAAACTGCTGCCTCTAGATAGAAAACAATTATCCAAAGATAGGTGGTTATTATTGTGGATGGATTGTATTGCATAAACAACTGGCTGTTTAATATGAATGGAATTTAAAATTAAAATGATCCTCATTTATCTTCGTTTCCCATTCAAAATGCCGTTGGATTCTATCTCTATTATACTATGTATTGATTTCTCATAAAAGTGAAAGGAGAGATTTTGATACGTAATTTTTTTTTCTATACAACTTTGACCTTTTGGTAAAATATAAAGAACTAAATCCGATGGGAATAAAAAGTGTTGAAAACTTTATTCTTTTCTCTAGACACTAAGCATCTGTCAAATAATAGTAATGTTCATCACACTACTTAAATGAGCTAAGAATACCAGAAAGACCATTAAATGTTATTAGATGTTACTACAAGAGAGTGTGAAGACTGAAAAGAAAAAAAAATCTTCATATTCTTGGCAACATTATAGACTCTTCCGTTTAAGTCGATATAAATGAATTAATAAAGAAGTTGTACTTAAGTTTTCATTAGTCTTCTAAAATAGTCTTTGAAAATGTAGCTAAATTAAAACCAAGCTGATAGTTTAAACATTGATTATGTCCTTGAAAATTATAAACTATATATAATTCTCTTCCTAATTTTTCCATTACAAAATGTTATGACAAAAAATGTTTTTTAAGGTTTTATTTCTGAAATATGTCTTTAAAACTGCCAAAATATGTTGTTATGCCATTTTAAAATATGCTAGATAAATCTCTGAGTTTTTTATGTGAACCCTACTATATCCTCTAAAATTATACAAAATACAGAATGCCGTTAGTGGTCTAAAGGTTAAGCCATTTTCAAGAGGTATAAAAAATTAAAACCTTACTGAACACATTCAATAAGAATTTAATATGTGTAAAATATTTTGTGAATTGCTCACACCTAGATGGGGATATATTTTCTAATCAACCTAAAGGCTTAAAAGAAAGTATATTTTGAATTATTTGGTTTTTTTAACCACTTCTAAACTGTATCTATGATTGTGTCTCAAACAATAGCCTAAACATAGTCATTCACTCATTCATTCATTCTTTCATTGATTCATTCTGTAACTAGTTATTAAGCGTGTACTACATATGAAGTATTTTTGGTGATAGGTAAATAGAGTCATAAACCATGATCTCATCCCTTTGGAAGAGAAGGGGAGGGGAGTACATTTACAGAAGCCCAGAAAGCACAGAAGATAGTGCTGAGCAGCTGCCTGCTCAGGACTTGAAATGGCCAAATCACATGATGCCAGGCACAGAGGCAGGCACTAGGGATACAAAGGTAAAGCGTGGCTCCCCCTTAATGAGCGCACTACTACTGTCTTGCTGGGGGGGTGGGTAGGGGTGATAAATAGGCAGATCTATTTGCAATGTCATGAGTACAACAGTAAAGGTGCCTGCATGGTTTTATACAAGTAATGCTGTGTGAAACACAACACTGTGTGCTGTGCACCAGAAACTATAAAGTCCTATTAAGCAGAACAGATTTAGAAGGCAAGACTGTAGTGATATGATGATTTGGGAGGCTGGAGCGATGATATTCAGAGAAAAGAAGGAGATTTCTAGAAACTAGGAAATGAGACTAAGGAGACGGAAGGACCAGTTTAAGAACCATACAGAAGGTAAAACTGAACAACCCAGTAATTGGATCAGTGGAGATGAAAGAGCATATAATCAAGGACTATATTAAAAGTTTTAGCATAGGTGAATAATAGTTGAGTATTCCAACAACAAAGAAGGAGGAGAGAACAAGAAGGTCATCGTGAAGGTCTTTAGAGGTCATATTAAAATTTTCAGTTTTATTGAATTGCATCTGGGATATACAGGGATAGATGTTTGGCAGGTAGTTAGTTCACAGAGAAGTCTGGGCAGAAAGTATAGGTCTTGAAATTATCTTTCTATATAGCGAATGACTCAAAGTGTGAAAGTATGTGAGATCAGCCAGGGAAAGGGTTTATAGGGTGATAAGGGCTTAAGAAGATCAAGTGCAGAATCTTAAGGAAAATCACCTTTCAGAAACCAAGTGGAGAGAGAGGATCCCATGAATAAAATAAAAAAAAAAACAGTCAGAGACTAGAAAGCTATGATGCTACAGAAACCTTGGGCATGAAGAGCTTCAGTGAGGGTGTGATCAGCAGTATAAACTCTAACAGTAGCATCCACTGAGGCAAGAACTGGCAAGTCTCCTTTGGCAAAAGATAAAGGTCATGGGGGCTCTTACAAAATCCAGGGTATGGAGTGATCAAGACAGCGGCACAGCTGCAGAAAGTTCAGGAGTAAATTAGAGGGTTAAGAAGAGGCGGAGGAGAGTGTAGCATACTCAGTGGAGAAATTTTGATATAAAAGGGAGAAGAGTAGTTAGCTGGAGGGTGGACTGCAGTTAGGGTGACCAACCATCCCGGTTTGCTTGGACTGAGGACATTCAATGCTAAAACTCAGAGTCCCAGGCAAACTGGAATGATAGGTCTTCATATCCAAGGCAAGGGAAGGATTTCTTCCTAGGAAGGTCCAAGAGCAGGTGGTCTAAGAAAAGGTCATGAATGTGGTGATTAATAGTACATAATTCATAGAAACATTTTAATCAAATTCTTTTATTTAATAATTACCACTAATGAGCAAGTGTTTTATTTTCCCTATTTGATGTATTTGGAAAATTGAAAGGAACATGAGAAAATTGAAGGTAACATAGAATGTTTCTTGCAAAATTAGAAGGATAGTATATATATATATATGTGTGTATATACGTGTGTGTGTGTATGTGTGTATATATATATATATAAATTTTAACTACTATGCTAATCACTGCAAAAGGGGGGGGGGTTTCCTTATGTGGAACCAAAAAAAAAATTTCTTTATTTGATTGGAAAATTAGAATTAGCAATGCAGTAACAGTTTTTACCTGCCTAGATACTGAATAATATGAGCATGTTTTAAAGAGTCTCAAAGCTACAGAAGAAACTATGATGTGGCACAAAATATATGGCTCTTCAAGAGGAAGGAAATAAATGACAGACCTAAGGTGTTGTCTTCATTAGTTGCAGAAATTACAACCCACAAGCCACAGCCCTTAAGGAACCAAAGAACATAGTTTGGACAATTAAAATATTCTTCAAAAGTGGCAGTACTACTTTCAATTAAATTGAAGTCAGGAAAAGGAGTGTGTGCATGTGTGTGCGTGTGTGATTGAACTACAAGGACAAGGCTTGCCTCAAATTCACCATGGACTAGTTTTGTGATGTTAGAATATTCAAGTTCCTAGTGTTCTAAGACCTATCCTCCAACTTCCTGAGACTAAGCTTACAGAAAGGGCTTCTGGAGACGGAAAGTGGTGTATAAATAGCTGCTTCTCCCGTGAAAGCATTTTAAAGTTACACATGAAAGCACAGCACGACCGAATGAATACTAACAATTCAAATTCTCTCTTACAAGAATGAATTCACTCTTGGCCTAAGATTCATTATAGCTTTAGACTTAGACCATTTCATGTAACGTTCCACCCCTAAGATAGATGGGAAGTGGAAAAGAGAGGAGACTGATAAAAGTGGACTTTCAGGGCTTTACAGAACTGTCTGCAGCTGGACTTGGAACAAATGGAAGAGCTGTATGATCACGCCTGTTTCTCCTGCCTTCTCTTTCTGTAATAGGCACACATTCTCTTTCTAACTTTGACAAACTTTCTAACATCCATGAGAAAATGAAGAACCAGCCCGGCCGCATCTGAACACACTAAAGAGCCTCTAATCCGACTGGAGGGACCCGCGGCCCTTCCCTCTCCTCACCACCCCAACCTTTCCCAGTGTGCCCTCGTCCTTCACTATTCCTTAATTTGGCTGGTTGTAAATTACCCCTGAAATCTACATTTTTAAGTGGCCTTATAAGAGAGGACAGTTCTTCAATCTTTGATACAATGCCAGGAGTGACTTTCATTCTTTTCCACACTAACTGAAGGTCTCAGAGCGCCTAAGGAAAAGAAAGTGCTGAAAATAGCAGTAGGAAGCCGTACACACCCGCGAACTAAGTGGTATCCGGCTTAGGAGTCAGACTTGGCTGACTTCTCCATCTTGCTAAGAGCTGACCCTCAGGGCTGGAACTGGAGTGTGAAGGGACCTCCGTGCTGCCTGACTTCACCCTCTCATGAGAACCCTCCCTGCCCCAGCTGCGATCAAGCCAGAGGCTACGGAAAATCATTGAGAAAGAACCTGACATTCCAAATGTTTAGCGGGGGCAAGGCGACTGCTATCAGTTATTCTGTCATAAG